ACTAAGAGGCCGCTAGGAAAGCTGCAACCATCAAGTACCTGCAGAGAGTAAGGCAAGTTCTGAGTAGTCAGCTGAATTCGAGGAACAAGGTGATGTCGAGAATGACTGTGGTATGATTCTGTGGGACTTCCAGATACAGACGGACAAACTGGTGATGGCTACCCAACTGGACATAGTAGTGGTTGACAAGCAGGGAAGAGCAACCATGGTGATAGACACATCAGGAAGAAGGAACACAAGAACCTGGAGAAGTACCAAGTGGCTCAGAGAAGAGCTCAGAAAGATGTGAAGTGTGAAGGTAACAGTGATTCCAGTGGTAATCAGAGCACTTGGTGCTTATTAAAAAGAGTATGCAAAAAAAGGCAACTACCATTCTGATATTGCTTTACCATTTTTTGTTGTTTTCATTCATCCAGAAATCTCTCTGTAACTGCAGTCTTCAAGTAATTTTTTGTGATAATGGAAACCATTGTTCTCTTCTGGCTGACTGGTTACTACGACAGGTACTCGACCTCCTCTGATCAAAGACCTTCCAGAACCCATAGAGACTCTGATGACACGCTGCTGGGACAAAGAACCCAGCCAGAGGCCATCAATGAATGAGGTCAAAAACACTATGAATCATCTAATGAAGGTATAGTGCCACTACATGGAACCACGAATTATCATTTTATTTCAGTTTGTGTCTACAGTAAAGAAATGAATTATAGATAGCATTTGTTTTCTCAGAAATTCAGTCAAATTTAGGTTCTTCTCTGGATTTATTTTTTTATGATGTGGTTCACTCCATCTCAAATCACCATGAATCTCCTGCTCAGCCCTCATTGTTTTGAATTTTTTCTGCACACTGAAATCTGAGGCGTGTGTTTTAAACAGAGTGATCTAAAAAGATTAAAGGCTGAAATTTTCACTTTTTTCTGTTTTGTTTTGTACCATCAAAATGAATCTGACATTTGGGACCGACTTCCCTGGAGGAGTCAGATAATAAACTGTCAAAGATACTTAGCCACATTAAAAACTCAAGTGCCAATGTAACTGTTTTTGTGCGTAAAAAGAAATATAGTAAAACAATTAAAAGTAATGACATGACAAATTGGAAGTATATCTAGAAACAATTAAACAAATGATCTTTTGAGAAGGTTTTATAAATCAGATGAACCTAGAGCAGTGTTTCCCAACCACTGTGCCACAGCATATAGTTGTGCCGTGGAAGATTATCTGGTTCCACCTGATTACTACTCCAAGCCAGCAGCATGAGTAACGGGAAGAACAATTACATTCTCTTCCACTAGAGGGCAGTACAACTACCTGCTCAAATTACATCGGTTGCCAACTGCCAGTAAAACAGAAGACGAAGAAGAAATTACATAATAGTCATGCTGTGAGACAACCAGCGCCTAATAACAATAGATAAATATTTGAAAGAAAAAGTAGTCAGTCCGGTTCTGATAAATATTTATGCCCCGAACTGGGATGATGATAAGTTTATTGGCAAAATAATATCATTAATTCCAGATATGAACTTAAAACAGCTGATTTTTGGTGGAGACTTGAACTGTGTGATGAATGTAACACTTGACCGTTCCAGCTCTAAACCTACAAATCTCTCCAAAAAAGCCAAGATATTATCTGTTTTTATGGCCCAAATAGGTTTTGTTGACCCCTGGCAGTTTTTATTTCCACAAAGTCATTTTCTTTGTTTTCTAATGTACATCATTCATATAGTAGAATAGACTATATGAGTACTGAATATTTAACCATTGTAGAGTCAGATCATGCCCCTGCACTTTTCTCTCTACCAATCAGAACGCCCGCCCTGGAAATTAGACAGGACTCTCCTGGCAGAGGAGGGTTTCTGTGAAATGATATAAAAAAAAAAAAATAGATGACTTTCTAATTTTTAACCAAAAAGATAATGTTTCACCTAAAGGCTGTAATCAGGGGAGAAATCATCTCATATTCGTTTAGAAAACCCAAAATGAATTGAAATAGGCAAGAACCATTTCTATGGTAGGTGCTCAGTACTCTGTCTCTCCCTCTCCTGAGCTTTACAAAAGGAAGCTAGACCTCCAAATACAGTATAATTTGCTATCAACTTAAAAAACTGAACGTCTTCTGTTAAAGTCATGAGGTTATGTATATGAGCATGGCGATAAAGCCGGACGTTTATTAGCACATCAACTTAAATGCCACTCAGCCGCACAACAAATCCCACAAATACGAAAAGATGATGGTGAGTTAACAATTGACCCCGAAGAAATTAAAGAAACCTTCACTGCGTTTTATTCAAATCTTTATACATCTGAGATTACAAGTGACTGCTCTGCTATGGAGCATTTCTTTGACAATCTTCAGGCTCCTCTTGTAACAGCAGCCCATAGGACTGAAGCTGAACTTCCACTCAATCATGCAAAAGTGACTACTGTACTAAAGGCGATGCAAAATGGCAAGGCACCCGTCAGGGCTGTCCGATCAGCCCATTGTTATTTGCCCTGGCCATAGAGCCCCTCTCTATTACACTCAAAACTTTGCCATCAATTGCAGGTATTCGTAGGATGGATAAAGAGCATAGAGCATCCCTCTATGCAGATGATCTGTTAATGTATGTATCTGATCCCGTTTCATGTGTCCCCCATATCCTCAACACCCTAAGCAGCTTTGGCTCCATCTCTGGGTACAAACTGAACTTCAGTGAAAGTGAATGCTATCCTGCTAATGACCTGGCTCTTCAAATATAGAGCAGTGCTATACCTTTCAAAACAGCCAAAAATGGCTTTAAATATCTAGGCATAAATATAACGAGATTTGCACAATCTCTATGAAGAAAATTTCTGCCTGCTACTTGAAAAGGTCAAATTGGACTTAAAGAAATGGAAACCACTTCATCTATCGTTGGCAGGGAATGTAAATTGTATAAAAATGAATATACTCCCCAAGTTTCTTTATCTATTTCAGTGTATCCCACTTTACCTTCCAAAATCATTTTTTAAATCTATTGATAAAGCTTTGGTCTCATTTATATGGGATGGGAAAAAACCTAGAATACGCCTGGATCAGTTACAGAGGCCTAAAGACCTAGGTGGCTTAGCCTTTCCAAATTTCGGCCATTAATACTGGGCCTCAAATGTTCAAAAAATAATTTATTGGCTCCACACCCCAGATGAAGATTGGTGCCAAATTGAAGCGGCGTCTTGCATTTCCACCTCCCTTAGAGCCTTGGTCACCTGCAGCCTTCCAGTTTCCTCACGGCTGTACACCGACAGTCTTATAGTTCTTAACACCCTCAAAATATGGGCTCAATTTTAAAAGAACTTTGGGTTTAAAAATCTTCTCGATTTGAGCCCTATTCATAATAATCATCTTTTCCCTCCTGCCAGATTAGACTCTGAATTTGCTCTTTTGCAGAGACGAGGCATCCACAATTTTTCTGACATGTACATAGACGTGTCTTGGCAAGTTTTCAGGATTTGCCACAAAAATTTGACCTCCCTCGGTCCAGCTTATTTAGATACTTTCAAGTTTGCACTTCCTTCAGCATTATAACCCCAACTTTCCAAATATAACACCATTTACTGGTGTTGATGATCTGTTGAAACTCACATTTAAGCCTAAAGGTCTTATCTCAAGGATCAGTAACTGTATAGCCTCCTTTAAGAATATAACAATGGCAAAGATCAGAGCGGACTGGGAGGATGAGCTGGGGGTGGACTTAGAGCAGGAGACCTGGGAGAGCGCTCTTTTAAGAGTAAACAACAGCACTTCTTGTGCCAAATTAAACATCATACAGTTCAAGATTCTTCACCACATTCATTACTCTAAGGCAAGACTGGCCAAAATATTTCCAAACATAGATGCAAGCTGTGAGAGATGTAGAAATCCTTCTGCAGATTTAACACATATGTTTTGGTCATGTCCAACTTTACAAGCCTACTGCTCAACAATTTTCAAAACACTGTCTGAAGCATTGAATGCTGAGCTTCAACCCAATGTAGTCATGGGTATATTTGGTGCTACAGATAGAGGACATAGAACATTAAGGAAAAGATACAAAAACATAATCGCTTTCACTACACTGCTTGCGCGCAGAAAGATATTATTGCATTGGAAGTCACAAAAGCCACCCAAAGTGGCTCTGTGGTTCAGTGACCTGTCACAATATATACAGCTGTACTCTCAAGGGGTCGAAGGAGAGATTCTTTGCCGTTTGGGATACATTGCTAAAACATTTAGAGAAAATTAAAACCGTACCCATCTGATACTCGCTTGGCAGCTACCGTATACCCTTATTGTTGTGATGGCGATTAATTTTGTGCAAACTATTGCCTTTTAAGTGCACATCTTTAAATATAGTGAATTTTGATGTACCTCATTTAAAATTTTTTTTCCTCTGGATTGGTGTCCAAGATGTTCTTGGGGTGGGGTATGCATATAAAAGAAGCATTGTGACTTTGTTACATGTATATCTTTGTATTACATTCTTGACGCTCAATAAAAAAATATTTAAAAATATTTAAAAAAAGAAAGAAAAAGTAGTCAGTCTGACCTGGTCCTGGAGAAAACTCCGACCCAGATGAAGGCCCTAGCATGAGTAGTGGTCAGAAGAAAGCAAAAAGGGTATACTGGGGGCAAACCGAGCCAATTCTGCTTATACCTGGTGCGCAGGGAAAAATTATCGGAATGCTTTTTGTGACATTTTTGTTTGGTGGTGTGGCGTGTGATTTTTCTAATGTGAAGTATGTGCCGTGACTCCAAAAGGCTGAGAAACACTGGCCTAGAAAGAGTTCTTTAAAAATGCAGGGTGCTATGTGTGCATCTTCCAGTACTTTCCAGGTTCCGATGAACCACTGGATCTTCCTCATCAGTCGTCAGCCAGCAGAAGTGGCTCTTCGTCAGCCACAAGCACGGGTAACCATGCTACAGCTTCTACTAGCATGATCACTTCAACAGCTATTTCAGTCTCTGCTAACTTTTTTTATAATAGATGGAATTGAAATCATTCCATGTTAAATCATTAATATTATCACAAATGATTTCTTTATTTCTGCTCAGACTCGTATGCTGACTGCACTATCAACTGTAGCCGGAGTGATGACGACATAGAACACACAAACTCAGTTGGTAGAGAGGAAACCCTGAAAAGTCCCGAGTCCAAATTTCCACTTCAGTTCAAGCCGTCAAAGGTAATAGAACCATAATCACACAGTGATCACACTTCTTCACAGTGTTTTGCTTTGAACCTGTTTTATGATTTTATTTTATTATTTTTTTATTATTTTATGATTTTCAAATCCCAGAGTCCTGCATCGCGTACTGGTCTGCCCAGGACCTCAAGTGTGGACACTCAACCAGGGCCTTCCCAAAACTCAACCCACTCGAGCAGTTCTCCAATCAACTCTAGCCAGTCAGAACTGAAGATGACATTCAGCTCCACAGGTAGATTCACACAATATTATTTTCCTGCAAAATAATCATCAATTCAACCTTTAAAATATATGTGTCTGAGTAAATACTGTACCCGCCCCGCCGTGGACACATTGCAGTCATATTAGAAGATAGTAACTGCTGTTGACCTGAAGCAAGGTTTACAAGACGTCTGCCAAATTTAAAGACTGTGGTAAACTAATTTGTTTCTCTGTATACAGACAGTTTTTAGAATGTTTTCTATTTCAGTTTTGTCATCAATGTTCTATAACTCATTGGTTTTTAACTCTACATTTTAAAACATCAAAATAGCTCATGCTGTGTTAGACTTTTAGAAGCTCAAATTACTATATTTGGATGAGAGGGTGAAGTTACTGTCTAACACTAGCTGTTTGGTTAGCAACCTGCGTTTATAAATTGTATGAGACATGATTAATGCATAGCATTCTGACCACCAACAGGTGAAGTGAAAAACAATGATTTTCTCTTCATTATAGCACCTGTTGGAGGGTGGGATATTTTAGGGAGCAAGTGAACATTTTATCCTAAAAAGGTGATGTGTTAGAAGCAGGATAACTGGGGCAAGCGTACGGATTTAAGTGAGTTTGGAGGCCTCACTTTGCTGCTTACAGTGCTTAAATGTTGCTAACATTTTGATGCCCGATACAACAGCACACTTTCAGAATTGAATGGCTTGATGGAGTACATGCCTCGATGGGTCAGGGCTGTTTTGGCAGCAAAAGCGAAACCAACACAATGTCTAAGGAGCTTGGAAAGAAAGCAACTGGACTTGTTAAAGTTTCGTGAAGATGTTTCATCTCTCCAACAAGCTTCTTCAGTTCTAAAACCAAATGGTGCAGCCACCTCTTGGTTGCACCTATAAATTGTTTCCATAAAGATTATGAATGGAAATGGAGAAAGCCAACATCCACTGGAAATGAGTCTGACTTGCTGCTGGCGATATGAATCAAGCTGTCACTACAGCTCTACAGAGGCTGAATGACCTGCATCAATAGGCATGATACCCCATACTCCCAAAGTAACCCTTGGAGATGGGGTCGAATGCCTTCACCAAATCCTCAGAAAAACCTACCAGGAAGAACCCAGGGACCTACTGGGTCTGATAATGGGTCCAGTGATTTCATCCAAATGGTGCAGAGTGCAGGGTATTTAAACCTATTGGGGGCTGTCCCTTAGGGTTCGTGATCCACTCATGTGCTTCATCACGTGAGCCGAGGTGTGAAAAATGTTGGATCTCCAGTGTCACCTGTTGTAGCCAACCTTTACATAGAGGAAGTGGAAATTAAAGCTCTTGGCTCTTTCAAATGGACAGTACCTAGCCGCTGTCAAAGATATGCAGATACCTGCTGCTGCTCAGATACCCAGGGGACTGCTCAACTCCACTGCTGCTTGGGTCCAGTGAGAGTCATCTAATACCCTGGGTCGCCTACATGTTGGGTTGTGGCTACAGCTCCCAGTGTATCCGCACTTGCTGCTTCATCATGTACCCATCTCCACAGGACTTTACTGTATGTGTGAGTGTGGGTGGTTCACTAAGGGTTTCAGACCCAGCAGTGGTTTCAGACTCATTGGCTACCCTTACCTGGTTCGACCAGACATTTGAAGCTTTTGCCAGGGTGTGGCCACTGTTGCATGCTATTGAATTCAAATAGCTGCGAGGAGCCACAGGTGAGAGTACCAACAAGGAAGGAACTACTCAAAGGACAAACTGCTCCAAGGAGCATGACATGTCCCCTTATCAGAGGTACTACCTCTCCCTGCCACTCCATACAGCCCAACTTCCTTTGACTACCATGACCTGGATGACAGAGAACCTACACAGACAAACCAACACAATAATAGGCAGGTGGTCATAATGTTATGCCTAATCTGTGTAATACCTGGTCAGTACCTAGTGATAAGATAACCTTTATAAGATAACCAGATAGACTCCTTGTTTGTCTTCTTTGGTAAAACCTAGCACCTCATAACACTTATTTTCTAGTTCAGTCACAGATGTGGCTCAGTGCATGCATTAGTCTGACCACAGTAGCATTAGATGGTTCACTGCCAGTGTTTGGATTTGTGTTTGAAAAGTAAAAGTGTGTGTGTGTGTGTGTGTGTGTCTGTGTGTGTGTGTGTGTGTTTGTGTGTGTGTCTGTCTGTGTGCTGGAGTAGATGGCTATCTGAAACTGGATTATCAGCTGCAGGTAAGATGATATTTTTATTGTGCTTAAAAACACAAAAACATAGCTGTAGTTCACCATGGTATTGGATTACAGTTTTCTCTGACTTTTCTAGGTGAAGACATATACCCACACACTTACATTTAGTGTTTATGCATGTATTAGTTATTGTTTTAAGCTAAGATAGAACTTTATTAATCCCTCGGGTGGGTTCCTCTGGGAAATTCGATTTTGTAAGTATGAGAACTCTAAATTACAAGTAATGTAGAAGATCTGCTAAATTCAGCAAAATATATATTTTGAAATTTAAAATGTATGTAATACTAAAATGTGATGTTTCTATTTCTTATGTTTGCCTAAATAAGTAAAATGTGAATATGTTTGAAATTCTGGACATGCAGCCATTTTTGGCCACTACTCCGACTTACCATGGAGGCATCCTTGTCAAAGACCTGAACCACCTGAACACCATTAATTTCTGCCATTTGTATCTGTAGTCTCATTCTTTTAGTCACTACCCGTGCTTATGACCACAGGTGAGGATGGGGTCATAGATCAACCACTAAAACTTCACTTTCACACTCAGCTGCTTCTTAACCATGAGCCCCTGAAATGAGACCCAGGAAGAGGGTGATAGATTGCCTGAAGCAGTTAGGACAGGACAGTGCCACTGACCGGACTGGCTGTATCCAGGGGAATCTACACCAAGTCTGTATGGTTTACTGAAGATACATAAACAGGGTGCACCTTTAAGACCGATTGTCTGCATGATCAACTCAGTCACCTATAACATCTCAAAGTTTCTGGCTTCGATTCTCAATCTGTTGGTATCTGAACACCACATCCAGAACACCTTGGAGTTTGTTGAGAAGGTGAGAGATGTCATTATGGAGGCAGATGAAACCATGGTCTCGTACGACGTTACATCTCTCTTCACTTGCATCCCAGTCACGGAAGCGTTGGAGGTAGTCCGTAAGAGATTACAGGATAACCTCAGCAACAGGACCACTCTCAGCATCCACCAAGTGTGTTTGAACTGTGTCTTCATTCTACCCTGGAACACCAAGTCATTGATTCAGGTATGTGGATGACACCTGGGTGAAAATCAAATCTCAGGACGTTCCACAATTCACTGATCACATTAACTTGGTGGACCAAGACATCAAAGGGAGGATATGAAAAGTGGCAGGTTAGCCTTCTTAGACTGTGAGATTTCCATCAGTAATGGG